AATGGTGGTGGAGATTTGGTGTAGAGAATAAATCCCTTTGGAAGGAAGTGATTTGCTCCAAGTATGTGCCATTGGATGGAAGATGGACACCACAGTTAATAAGCAGAGAATCCAAGATCTGGTCGGATATTATTCAAGCTGTACTGTCCAATCCAGAGCTGCACCAATTTTTTATCTCTAATTCTTAGATTGTTCTGGGGGATGGGAGGAGAGTTCGATTTTGGAGAGACAAGTGGGTGTGTAATGTATGCCTAATGGAGGAATTCCGAAGGCTCTTTTCCATATCTAAAGGTAAAAATGGTGTGGTAAGGGTGTTCTTTGAAAAAATGGAAGAGAATGGTGGCTGGAACATGGACTTCAGAAGACCTTTGTTGGTATGGGAGGAGGAAGAAGCTAACAGACTTTTTCATTTGTTGAATTCTGCACCAACTCTCTGCAATTCCTAATCTGATGAGTTCATATGGGGTGCAGATCCATCTAATCTTTTTTCCGTTTCTTCAGTATAACTTTGGAGTGAATCACATCTGGGACCTATACTTCCAGTGGCTGCTTCAATTTGGAATAATTTCGCTCCCCCAAAAGTTCAATGTTTTGGGTGGATGGCTTGGCTGGTGGGTGCTGCCAGGTTCAGTGAATGGTCTGTTGAATTGGTGGGATGGTTGTAGAATAAAGAAGCTGGAAAAGAAAATTTGGAGGGTTCTTCCTCTGGCTATGCTCTGGTCTACATGGAAGCATCGAAATGATTGCATCTTTAATGGATCTCAACCAAACTTGGAAGACCTGTGTGAAATAGTGAAGGTGAAGTTTTGCATTAGAAATGGAGGTTGAGTGAAAAAGTGTTTGTTTGGTTGGTTGGTTGTTGGTATGATTGGTGGTCATGGTAGTTCAGAGATGGCCAGGTCACATGTATGTTCTGCTGTCTTGTTTAGGAAGAGGATTTGATCTATTCTGCACCAGTCTTGCATTGCTGTGAGGTTATGTTCATCCTTTGCTGGGTAGCTGATGTGGCTTGCTGATGGAAGTAAGGTTTTGGCTGCTTAATAGTCTGAGTTCAGTTGGGCAAAGTTTTGGCTGTTGTTATGTTGTGCTCAAGTGGTTTTCCCTGCTTCATAGTGGAGTTTTATGGTGTGCTAAAGTGAAGGTTAATTATACTTCTTTCTGGTTGAGTTCATGGTCTGCTGACTGCACTGATTTGTATGGTGTTCTGTCTGCTGCTGTGGGAGAATTCTACTGGTGTTTTGCTATATTTGCTGCTTGGTGTATTGCTCTGTTGCTTGTTGTATGTTGTACTGTTGTTCTGTTTTGTGGCTGTGGCTTGTGAGGTATGCTGGGCGGATATGGTGTTTTAGTGGAAGGTTTTTGGTCTGCTATGGAGGTTCTGTCTACTTAGGGGAAGGCTGCTTCAGTGTTCAGTACATTTGGTAGTGAGGCTCGGGCTAATGAGATATATCAGAGTGTGCAGCACAGAGCAGTGGTGAACTCAGAGAAAGAAAGGCTATCAAATGCTTTCTTCTTCAACCCAGCACACCATGCCAATGTGGAGCCCCTTTCTGAGTTTGTCACAGTCACTTTGCAAAGAACTGGTGTGTAGCAGTTGTAGGGTCTGGTTTCTGTCAAGCCCACAATCTAGGTGGGAGGTTTGCTGGTATATGGGTTTTTTTTTTGTTGCTCTTCTGGCAGTGTGCATAAAGGAATTTCTGGGTGCTAGCAGTTGTCGCTACCTTGGAGTTGGTGTTTCTACCCCATTCGGCTGCAGTGTTTGTTTTGGTGCATGGTTTCAGTTCAATCCTGTTGCAGTGTTTGTTTTGGTGCATGTTCCTTGTCATGCAGTATTATTCAATGATGGTCAAGTTAAAGCTAGCTTTGCTTGTTTGGTTTGGTCCTTCTTTCTTTTTTTCCGTTGGTCTCTTACCAACTTTGGGATGCTAGCAAATGATAGGGTGTGCTGGATGGTGCCAACCTAGTTGGGATCATTTAGCTCACTGTGATGCTTTTGCACTCCCCTTTCCTTTATTGATGTAATTTGTCTTGTGCATTGTACTTGTTTATTTCATCAATATAGTTTCTTTTTTTTGCCGATCAAAAAAAAAAAAAAAGGATTGAATGATGTGAACTCGCTTGACGATGATGGCGAATGATTGGTTTCAACAATTTCGTCCAAGTCACAAGCCCATAGTCTAATCTCAGTCATGATATGGGGAATATGGGTGAAAAATGCAACTTTTAAATTTTTTTTAATATTATATATATTTATTTATAATTTTCAGTGCCCATCCGGATGTGTGATCCTACAAATGCCCCTTTGCTATTTGGATAAGTTTTCCGAATTTATTTTTCAAAAATTAGTTTGGTGAAAAAAATTTGAAATAAATGAAAACTCATTATTTTCAATTTTGTTTTTCATTTTTTGAGAATTTTTAGAAAATTGAAAGTCAATTTTTTGAAAAGATCAACACTTATTATTTTCATGTGGTTTTCTTTTTTTATGACAAAAATATTTATAGAAAAATCAAAATTAAATATTTTTGGTCCTTACTTTTGTTAAATTGGTTTGTAATTTTTTTTAAAGAAATTGTAAAAATTCAACCAAACAAATTTGTCAAGAAGAAAATGAAGGAGAGCAATATTTTATCATGTGCCATCTAAGTCACGATAAAAACGGTTGAGCATTACTCTTTTGTTTAAAGGGTATGACTTGTCTCCAGTTAAAAGGTCAACTAGACCAAACAATTGAGGTCTCTCACCGGTCAGAGTTAATGAATGGTGGTCTCTCCACGAGTACAATGTGAAATAGAATAAGAGTCTAGATCTGGCAATTCTATAGAAAATCCGCTAATTACAAGAAATGTAAAAAATTGACTTCATCACCAAACTCAAAATCGTCACCTAATCTTTTAGGAAAAATTAGAAATTCCATGACTCGTATCCAAAGGCCATGATCTGTCGTAACTAAAGTGTTTCGACTCGAGAACTTATGTATAAGGGAGGAAGGTCATGAATTGAGTACCCCCGTTCACCCAACCAAAGATCGACCTCTCATAATCTATGATATGGGAATCATTAACATGACATGATTATATGATAATCATTAACATGACATGATCATATAACCGAGTTATTATTGTTATCTTTATTATATGAAACAAACAAGTATAGACCAAATCACCTACTTTGGAATACTCTAATCTCTTGCTATTTTTTTTTATTTTTTTTTTAAACAAAGTGTTGGAAAGGAGGAAATCTCATGAAAAATCGAGGCATCCATTGCTTGAAGATATCAGAATCATTCCAACTTAGGTAATGTGACCTCTATACAATGGGTAACCATGGAGATATAACAAATAAGCACATAGCCTCATGGTAGCATGCTAGACATAATAAGAAGCAATCACAAGCATGATGCAAAGATGAAAGAGGTTCGCCTAATACTTCTTCGACCGTGCCAAGAGCGTAATGGGTAAGAAAACAATGTGGGATCCTAGATGTTGAACTAAATGATATGCAAAGAAAAGGGTAGGTATGCTCACCGAGTACTCCAACCAAGCAAAAAATAGAAAATAATCTAAAATAAAAATGCATGATTCTGGATGCGATAGCTAATGCAAAATTCACACATAATGAATCCTAAGGGCCTTTGGACACTATCGAGATGACATGAATATCAACAAAGCACATAACACATAATTTAATCTGAAGATAATGGTCCAAGACCAAATGCATGCTCCGACACTAATCATGAGAATATGATGATAGTAAAAGCAAGTCTAAGCTATCAAAGAGTACAAGAGTAGAGAGTAAGGGTAAAGAGAAGAGAGACTCGTCTCAACAGATGCAATAATATAATAAATGGAAACTAAAAAAATGACGAGACAAGAGCAAAAGAAGCTCCAATGAGGATTGAGAGATTATCTCCCTTTTATACATGAAAATGAGTATAAACTACTCAAATCCATAAGAAATGGTGATGAGAGGGGAGATCCAAAGAGTGTATAGAAAGTTGCCCAAAAATTCTCACCAAACTCTTTTTTTTAGGGTTTTTGATTAAGTATAGAGGAATTGTTTAGAAAGGACTAGGAATAGTGGTTCAAAATTTTGGAACCCTTTTCCCTCAAGAGGGAGAGTGATTTTATAGGCATTTGGGACTTGGAATATGCCTCTAGATCCCATGGATCCGGATGGCATATTCTAAGATCCTTTGAATGCCTCACAAGAAAGTTGTTTGGTTGACACCAAAACAGAATGTGATGGATAAGACTTGTTCAGCCGGTACAGAGTAACCCAGCGTATCTCCTCAAAAATTTTCTTGGAGGAGCTGGAAAAGACTTGGAGATGTATCCACAGATCAAAGTTGTTCGGTGCATTGCTTGAAAAATGTTCGGTGGTATAAAAAAAGATTTGGGCACCCGTCCACGGGCCAAAGCGGTTCGGTGTGTTGTGGAAAAGATGTATGGCCGAGCAAAGCTTATCTGGTCGGTTTTCTTGAAAGTTTCCCCTATTTACTCTTTTGTACGGGCTTTCTAAGCTAACTCTTTCAAAAAGTGAAATTTTTGAAAAATCACACTGCTTGGAATTGCCAAAATGAATGAAAATGTACCAATTGCCTTCAAAAATATTTGAAAATAGGTTTTAGCATCCAAAAAACATTTTGACCAAAATGAGTGTAGGGCGGATTTGTTTTGGAGCGACCTTTTGTATCTTAGGAATTTTGGATAGAGCATCCAAGTTTTAAAGGCAATAAAAAATTGAGTGTCTGTAACTACTCATTATTTCATCAGTTTATTATATGGTTAGGACATTCTATCTACTAGAACCACTTTCTTCATTTTATTTCAAGACTTGTTTTACATTAATATATTTTTGTTTTTATACTAAATTTTTTTCTAAAAAAAAAAAAAAAAAAAAAAGAGAGCATCCAATTGCAATTTTGATGGGGAGATGTACGATTGATTTGAGAAGCCTAGCCAAAATTAAAAATAAATAAATAAATAAAAAATGTCATGTAATGGAATTGACTGATTGTGTGCTCTCAATTACTTGTAAGATTTAATAGACAAACTAATGTAATTTACATGCATGTCTTTAAAATGAAATGCACAATGCCTCGAATTAATTGGTAACATGCTAGAGAGAAGAACAGTCCATAGCAACTGCATCAATCTCTTGTAACTGCAATGCCAACTCCAAATTACTCAATACATCACTCATTGATGGCCGTTTAGATCCTGTTTCAGCCATGCACTTCACTGCGACATCGTCAAACACAGTTAAACACTGAGGTGCTATCTTTCCTCTTAGATGATGGTCAATCATCCGATCAATGGTTCCATTTTGATAGCAACGGAGTGCCCACTCAGCTAAGGAAGTCCTCTCTTGATCTTCATCATCTACAATTGATATCACATGTTTCACAGCAGGCCTTCCACACAACACCTCAAACAACACCACTCCGAAAGAATAAACATCGGATTTGTCAGTCAGTTTACGATGCTTGTAATACTCGGGATCTAAATATCCGAAAGTACCCTTCACCTCAGTGTAAACGTGTTCGCATGAAGCTCTGGTGGGGCCTATCCTTGATAACCCAAAATCTGCAATCTTGGCCACCCATTCGTCATTTAACAATATGTTGGCTGTCTTCACATCGCGGTGAATGATTGAATACTTTACACCTGTATGAAGGTAATGTAGTCCTCGTGCAGCCCCAATGCAAATCTTGAGCCTTAGGTTCCATGGCAAAGGTGGATTCCGGGACTTGTAGAGATGATCGCATAGTGTGCCATGAGCCATATACTCATAAATTAGGATCATCTCGACACCCTCTTGGCAATAGCCTTTTAGATGCATATGTTGAAATTTGGCAAGTAGTTCAATTTCATTTTGAAACTCCCTAACACCTTGGTGGGATTTGGGGTTTCCACGCTTGATTGCCACTTTTGTGATACCATCATCAATGAATCCTTTGTAAACCTTACCAAAGCCTCCTGATCCAAGAACCATATCTTCATCAAAGTTGTTGGTGGCTACTTTAATCTCTACTAGTGAAAATTGGCGACAGTGGTCTGACGATGCCCATGATAGTAGACTTGCGCTCGTGTTGTTTCTTGTATGAGATTGATGAATGGTTGGGGACACCAAGTTGAATCTCCTGCTCAATTTGAAGGCTATGAAGCTTACAAGACAGAACCCAAGAATGGCGCTACCGACAACAATTCCGTTGATGATTTTCTTTGTTCGAGCTTTCTCATTCATCTTTTTGGTATTATTGATCATTTGAGGGTGAGCTGCAAGACTTTTGTTGGTGTTGCTCAATTTCATGATCTCAATCCCATTCAAGATGGCATCAGCATACTTGGGTTTTGAGTCTGTGTTGGGATGGAGGTCAAGCCTTATTTCACCTTTTTCCGATACCTTTGTGATGTAGTCTCTGTACATGGCAACGTACGGAGCCCCCTTCAAAGCAATTAAATCTATGCTGTTTTCTGCAATCTGATTGTTAATATAAACCTTGAACACCCTCTGATTAACCATTGTCACTTGCGATGAAATCTCACAAAAGTGAAGCCTAAGAAAGTAATTGAAACCAGAATCAACAGAGAAAATCCATGTTAGATTGTGGTTCACATTGATGGCGTCGTTGCTACCCATTGTACGGGCGGTATTGTATAGCTCTTTCGGTGCGGTATAGTTCGAAAAATTATAAGTAGAAGTAATATAGCCAATATCAGTATAGACAGACAAACCGGGTATAGGACCAAATATATAATTGGAATCATCCAACCAATATCCAAATATGTTGCTAACAGAACTTTCCCATTCATGTTGAACATTCACACGATAAAGTATCTCAAAAGCAGTTTCATCAAGATTAAAGAAGGGATCTTTCTGGCCAATGAAACGAATGGATGCATTTCCTTTTGGAATATAAAGATTTAATGGCAATGAGAAGATCTCTATGCCATTCACGAATGCTAAAGCACTAGAAGCCATTAGGGATGGGATGAATATGATGCTCAATTTCTTCTCCTTAATGTTAATAGAAAAATCTTTGCTGAAATAATCTGATTTTAGTGCGTATGCGGTGGCAGAAGGGCGAAAGTTGTCTAAGAGAGTGAAACCACCAGCAATAACAACCGAAAAACAAGCATCGGAAGGGTTGAGACTTGAATCATAATAAGGAGCCGAATAAAAGTAAAGGCGGATGAACTTGTTACCTGGAGTGACGGGGAAAGTGTAGGTGAACTGTGAATGAAAGATGCGAGCAGACAAATATGGAATCTTGGGAACTGAGGGATTTGAGGCTATGGAATTGGAAAGTGACGATGTTGTTTGATAATCTGAGGGTAAGTAGCTTGAGCCAACATCCCCAGTCCAATCCTTACCATTGAATGCTGAAGATTCTGGAGACCCACAATTGAGCAGGAATTTATCAGAGGAAACGTAGTCATTACTAGTAGCTGCCAAGGATATCAAATTAAATATTGGTAGAGATAGGTATAAGAGGGTTAGATCCAAGCAACAACATAGAAGGTCTTTGTGGATTTTCATCATTATGAGAAGGGAAAAGTTAGGGATCATGAAAATTTTGTCATGAAAATGATCATGAAAAATTTATCATCCTTGGATTACCTTGATTAGTGTGTGGTGCTTTATTCTAAGTGTAATCCAAGGGTCACAAAGCTTTCATGATTATTTTCATGAAAGATTTTTCATGATACCTAACATTGCTGTTATGAGAATACGTAAAATCCTATGGAAGAGAGAGAGAAGAAAATTTGACCTCTATTTTTTGGAATCCAAGTCATCTGCTCTAAATTGTTGTACTGTAATGGCTTTTGATGCTTTTGTAATGTACACTTCTACTTTTACATTAATAAAGTTACGAAAAAATTAAAAATAAAAATAAAAACTTTTATTAGGAGCTTTCATTGCCATGTTAGGGCAATAACCAATACCTACCATTCAATAATTTTTTATTTTTTGGGCACACATTCAATGTGCTTGTTTAAGATAGAGAAATTATTGATGTTTGTCGGTCTGATAGCTCACTATTTTGTGGAAAAAGATATGAACCCCAAATATCATGAAATTAACACATTCAATGAATTTTTTTATGATAGAGAAATGATTGATGTTTGTCGGTCTGATATGTCACTATTTTGTGGAAAAAGATATAAACCCCAAATATCATGAAATTTTAACTGAAAATGGAATTTGTATGTGTGCCATCCGTGTTATGAATAATTTTTTTTTTTTTAATATCTAGCATTGTTGCTATTTTATTTTATATAATTATGTCAATTATAAAAGTTAAATATGTTCGTGGTATTTTTTTTAGGGACATTTAAACATAAGTTTTAATTTATGAACTTATACTTCATTATGTCTTAATTAAGATTTTTCAAACCTTTAAATCCCATTAAATTTTTAATAGTCGAAATTACCCTTCAAATAATGATTGTTCATCATTTATGATTATTTTTAAAAGAACATGATAATTTGATATTTATTTTTTATTTTCAAAACTTTAAAATTTCAACTTTCAAATTGATAAAACTTATATAAAAAAAAATAATTGGTTCCATTTTTCCAAAAGTAATTTTTAGAAAATTCTACTTTCTTATTTTTCGTATTTTTTTTGTTTTTACTGAATATTTTTAATAGTTTAAACAATTTTTTTTTTTTACTTTTTAGACATACCTAACACAAATATACTTAAAAAGTAAAAAAAATTGAGAAAAACCTTTTAAAAATTTACTAAATACCAAAAATACAAAAAAAAAAAAGAGAATTCAGTACATTTTTTTTGTATTTTTAGGTATTTATTAATTTTTTAAAATATTTTTTCACAAAATTTTTATTTTGTAGATACATCTAAGTAAGGTACATCTAAAAAAATAAAAAAAAAAATGTTTAAAATTTTAAAACTATTCATTAAAAAAAAACACGAAAACCAAAAAACTCAGATTTTAAAAAACTTAATCCAAAAAACTCAAACCAAGCACACTGATATCAGTTTTCAAATTTTTTTTTTTTTTTGAAAAATTTCTAAAAATTGAATTATTTTTTTGTGCAAAACTGAAAATTTTGTGCCTATAAAGGAGTATGATGATAGAACATTGATGTAAAAAATTGAGAGAAAAAAAAACTTAAAAAAAAATTGATAATGTTCTCAATTTTAAAACTAGAAAAAACTGATAATGTTGTCGATTTTATTAGAAAGTTTAATCAAATCAATAAGTAGAAGGACAAAAACGTTCAATCTCATACTCAGTTTTTCTTTTTTTCAGTTAGTGAAACAATTATCTGAAACATTACTATTCAAAATTGATAATATTCTTAATTTTAAAAATTGAAAAAAACTGATAATATTCTCAATTTTACTAAATAGAACTTATTGGTTCAAAAAAATCTTAAATAGGACCTGAGTTATCATAATATTCATAAATAGGATTTTTAGTTAATTAACTTTTTTTTATTATTATTATAATGTATGTCAATTACAATAAAGCCCATGTATAGGCAAAAAAAATAAAATAAAATAAAATAAAAAATTTATAATGAAATGCAAGAGCTTTAACTCCATTGGTAATAGAATTCAACCCACTTGGAAAGACGTAGCATACCACATTAAAAATCATATGATAAGGGTGGGTATGTCATCCCCTAAATAATTTATCTTTTTGTTTTTTTTATCATATTATTTTTTTATTTTTTTACATATTTTTTTATAAAATGACAAAAAATATACTTATTTAGATCATTCAAAACAACCCATAACCCTTCGTTTGGCAACAACTGTAAAAGACATAATGGCTTTATTTGGTTACAATTTTTTAAATAGATTTTCATTTATTTTTATTAAAAAAAATTTCGTATTTAATCAATTTTTTTTATCCAGTAAATACATCAAAATTAGATACATCTAAAAAGTAAAAAATCCAACTAAAATATTTTTAAAAAATCACTAAAAATGAACAAAAATTCAAACAAAAAAGCCCACAGATTTTTATTCAAATTTTCATCAATTTGAACTGATTTTTTAAAAAATATTTTAGCTTTTTTTTTTTTTAACTTTTTAGATACATCTTGATTAGATACATCTAAAAAGTACAAAAAATTGATTAAAATATAAAAAAAATTACCAAAAATAAACGAAAAGTCGTTTAAAAATAGTTTTTGAAAAATTAAACCAAACTTGTTTTGAACTTTTTTGTCTGCAATTTTTATTTTTATTTTTTTACCCTAAGAGGATCTACAAAGTAAATATATATATATATAATAAAAAATAAATAAAAAGTTTACTAAAATCAAAAAAATAAAGCCAAAAAGCAAATTACTTTCTTAGGTTTTTTTAGTGGATTTTTTTTCAACTCTTATTGTTAATATTTATTTTTGTTTTTCAGGTCTGTCTAATTTAGTAAAATATAAAAATGAAAAGTACTATAATTATTTTTTTTAAATAGTTCAGTAACAAAGAAAAAAGGATAAATTATAAATACATCTCCTGAGATTTACTTAAAATATAAATGCCTATTGTGGTTTGGAAAATTATAAATACCCCCTTGTTAGAATTTTTTATTCAACATAATTAGTTAAAAAATTAAATTTCATAATTGTTCTACTATACAATAATAAAATTATATAAATTATTAATTGAAATATATTTCTAATATCATTAAAAATGTTAACTGATTTGATGATTTACTAATAAAATGAGCGATTTTTTATGAAATTAGAAAACTCAAAGGGTAAAATATAATTTTTAGAATTATATAGGGTGATTCGTATTTTAATCAACTCTTAGGAGGTGTATTGTAATTTACCCAAGAAAAAATGCTTGACAAAAACTTCTAAAAGCGCAATTGCCAAACCCCTCAGTAAGAGATTTTGATAAACAATAATACTACCAATCCAAATTTAGGGTAAATAATCAATAAATCCTGATAGTTTGACTTACTTCTTATCAAATCCTATTGAAAAGAAGTTCAAGTAAAATCATTGTTAAAAATAATTTTTTATGATGATTTTTTGCATATATCACTAAAAATTGACAGTTAGTGACTTTTTTGTCACAATTTTTATAAATTGTCGCTAAAATTTATAATTAGTGAATTTTTCTGTGACAATTTTTTCAAACTGTCCCTAAAAGTTGAAAATTAGTGACTTTTTTATGATGATTTTTTTAAGCTGTCAGTAAAACTTATAATTAGTAACATTTTTCGTGACAATTTTTAAACTGTCACTAAAAATTAACAATTAATGATATTTTTTCATAGTATTTGATGAAAAACACCATTAATTATCTGTGGGCTCGCCTTTTTCCGCGCCTTGCCTTTCGAAAATGATTTTGAAAAGAAGGCCTCATAGTTCAGACTCCCACGGTTCTGAATCTAGTCTCACAAGTGCAACGTGAAACTTATAATCACCAAAGAGTCCAATCTAGTAAATCTTTTGGAAAATTAATTTTAAATCAAATAATGCCAAAATTAGACTGCTTTGCCAGATTACAAAGTCGCCACCTAAATATTTTTGTTTTTGGGGAAATTCAGGAAACCCTGACTCGTGCTAAAAGTCACGTGTCCGTCATCACCAAAGTTGCCTCAGCTCAGGAACTTAGGTACGAGAGGGGAAGGTCCTGAAATGAGCACCCCCGCTCGCCCGATCAAAGATCGGCATCTACTAATCATGATATGATGTTTTATAAACATTATGTGTTCTTATTCTGATTATTAATCTAGCATTACTATGTGATGCGCACGCATACAAGTATAGACAACATTGCAAGAATTGGAACATTTCAAATCATGTTTGTTTTCAAAAATGGTTTGAAGTTGCCACCCTTAAGTGGGCTTAAAACGCGGATTTTCCATCAAACAAGATGGGCTTAAAACATGATTTGTCACTTCGCAAAGTGAGCTTAAAACACACATTCGTTGAATTGTTCCAATTTCAAGCAACAAAGCCTTCATCCACAGGCATTCATGCAATTTAGCATTTAAGCACATAGCCTCATGGCAAGCATGTGAAACATGGCAGTATGGCAATCACACTCGTGCAAGTATGCTAAAGCGTAAAACTTACCGAGTACTCCAAGCCAAAACAAAAGCTAGTTAGAAAAACGCATGATCCTAACTATGTTAAGATGCCTAATGCAATACATACAATGATGCAATTAATATGCTCGGCTACTAATATGGTATATGAAACAATTTGAACATCATGTGATAAAACACATATTCAAAGAATTATTTGAAACGATAATGTAGTTTGAATGATGCGCCAAGCCTCGGTGCATGCAATACAAATGAATGAATGCAAACATGTGAGCATAAGGTATACTAATTGAAAATATGATCCCTAATCTAACCATCAAAAGCGGGTAAATAAATGGGAGAAAGGCGTGGGATTAGAAGACATACACACACGCACGCACACTTATTACAACATTGCGCCCTCACGAAGAAGGGTCCGAATAAGCTAACTAGCTACGCTAATTAAGCTAATTATTACAAAAACAAAACTAATTAACTATTCTAAGCTAATTAATTATTACAAACCAGAATCGAATAACTAGCTACACCAACTAATTAATTACAACACTTGAATTAACTAGCTATTCTAAGCTAACTAAAGCAATTAAATAATTAACTATCTAAGCTAATTAAATATTACAACACAACTAATTAGCTGCAACTAATTGAATATTACAACACAATTGAGGCAAGCGCCAAAGAAGATGTATGGAGGTTGCATGCACACCACTTGAAAGATAATCTATCTGCCCAGATTGCCTCTGTTCCACCTCCAGCCATTACCTCTGTTTCTGCAAAAATGCCTTGCTGA